CCCTGCCTTGAGATGCACAGCACAGCTGGATGAGCATAGGAAACATTGACCTTTAGATCTTCGTTCTGCCCCTCTAGGCACAAGGTGTCTCATACAATGAAAACTTGCACGGCCTTATTTATATACGGGGAGGTTCTGCTTTAATTTGTGATTTGGCCCCTGTTTCCAAGACCCTCAGACTTCTGTTATCCTAGCCCCACTCTCATTCACTGCTTTCACTGTTACCTACACTCCAGAACACTGGCCTTCACTCCTGCCCCAGCGGAAGACAAGCCCAGTCCTGCCTAAGATCTCACTCTTCCCTCCGGATGGCTTCCCTTCCCAGACCTCTGCATATTCAGGTTCTCTCTCTCTCTCTCTCTCTCTCTCTCTCTCTCTCTCTCTCTCTCTCTCTCTCTCTCTCTTTTTTAGGAGCATCAACTTCTTCATCTTTTTTAAAAATTTTTATTTTGCCCTGGCTGGCGTAGCTCAGTGGATTGAGTGTGGGCTGGGAACCAAAGTGTCCCAGGTTCGATTCCCAGCCAGGGTACATGCCTGGGTTGCAGGCCATAACCCCCAGCAACCGCACGTTGACGTCTCTCTCTCTCTCTCTCTCTCTCTCTCTCTCCCTCCCTCCCTCTCCCTCTCTAAAAAATAAATAAATAAAATCTTTTAAAAATTTTTTTTTATTTTAATTATTGTTCAAATACAATTTTCTATCTTTTACTCCCATCCCAGCCCACCCACTCAGCCCTCCCCACCTCCCTCCCATTTCCACCCGCCCCTAGTTTTTGTCCATGCGTCCTTTATACTTGTTCCTGTCAACCCTTCCCCTTTTCCCCTGAAATTCCCCTGAAATTCCCTCTGCTCTCCCCTCTGAATACTGTCAGCCTGTTCTCTATTTCAGTGTTTTTTATTATATTTTGCTTGTTTCTTTGTTTTGTTAATTAGGTTCCTGTTAAAGGCGAGATCATATGGTATTTGTCTTTCAGGCGAGATCATATGGTATTTGTCTATCACTGCCTGGATTATTTCGCTTAGCATAATGCTTTCCAGTTCCATCCATGCTGTTGCAAAGGGTAAGAGCTGCATATTCAGGTTCTCAATTCAACAATAGAGTCAATCCCTTCTTCAGATCTCCCAGATCTTCAATATCATCACTACCTGAAAGTCCAATTTACATGTTTATTATTGGTTCCACCTCCCTTGGAAATTGCAAAAACTCTGCATGATGCTCTATGCAAACACCCACCCCCACTTAGCTCAGTGAGCCTGGGTTGCTCAAACCCTGTAATTCTAAACAAAGGCTGGTCTTCAGGACTGGCCTTTGGCTGGCTGCTGGGAGATAACTTCTGAGTCCTGGAAATATTCTGTGAATAAGAATTGTTTGTATATGCCAGGCATTGGGCCATATTGCATCAGTGTGAAAATTCATCCTAACATTGTGAACAGAAAAACAACAACACCCATCCCTACCCCCTGCACAAAGGGACTCAGCCAAACTGTAGTATGGCTTCTAGCAGCCTAAGGCCAAGTCTGTAGGATGACCCAGTTCCCATCCAGTAAAGCTCAGGGCGGTCAAAAGAATTTTCCTTTTGTTCTAGCCAACACCTAATATAGCCTCCCCCCTAAACTCCCTTGCTTAGAACATTAACTAAAATGGGCTTCCAACTTTGAGTTCTTCCCCTGTCCCTTTGAGATGTAAATGTATGTACTACCACTCCATCACCACTCTCAAGGACCATCCCCTTGAAATGCAATTGTCAAGAAGCCCACCCCTGGGTCTCTATCTCCTAGTCTCTTGGGAGGATAGACTCCTAACTTCAGTAACTGACAGCTAGCAGACACAGCTGGCCTAACTGCACTTACACTGACCAACCCTTTGTAATTTTTCACTTCCCCGACTCTACTGAAACCCTGCTTGCTCCTCTCCCTCCTTTAAAACGCCCAGTCACAGCCTGCACAAGTGGGAATGGGGCTCAACTTTCCCCTACTGTCAGTAATGACTGAATGAAATCTGTCTTCACTGCTGTGACTACTGCCTATCTTTGTTTACTTTTGACACCCTCCATCCTCACCCTCCCTCAAGCATTCGAGGCAGAGGTCATGCCTATTTTGCTCAATACTGATTCTAAGTGCCTCCAAGAGTGCCTAGCACAACAAACATTTGCTGAATGAACAAATATGTGTTTGTTAAAATGCATGTAGTAAGAAAAAAGGGGGGCGGTGCCAAGATTGGGAAATAGGAGACCTAGATTTTAGTCTCCTTTGTCGTGATTAAGTAGTTACCTGAGTCAAGTTGTTTCATCAGCATGGTCCAACTACTGTCTGTGTGAGCTACGGCAAGATATGGAACTTCTCTGTCTCAGTTTCCTCAACCAGCAATTTCTTCCACACAAGGTTATTGGGGGAAGATTGAAACAGTGTGAGAGAAACACAATGGTGTGGGAGTGGCTGCTCAGGAAATGAGGTCCCATTTTGACCTTTGACTGCAGCAACCCCCAACCTTTTTGGCACCAGGGACCGGTTTCATGTAAGACAATTTTTCCATGGACCAGGGGTGCGGGAAGGTTTCAGGATGATTCAAGCCCATTACATTTATTGTGCACTTTATTTCTACTATTATTACATTGTAATAATATTGAAGTAATTACGCAACTCACCATACATAATACAGAATCATTGGGAACCCTGAGCTTGTTTTCCTGCAACTTGACGGTCCCATCTGGGGGTGATAGGTGACACTGACACCCGAAGTGTATTGCTTATGTCCAGTCTACTCCATAATCTCATTTTGGTGCTGTCACTGCAGAAAACCCTGTTTTACAAAGACAGGATGTTGGAAGTGGAAGCAGGCTTTTCAGTGCTTTTGTGGCAATCTCAGGATATGGCTTAACTTTATTTTTTTATTTTTTTGCCTGCAACAATCTTTTATTTTATTTTCTTTCCTTTAAGGCTACTGAAAATCTGCACGTAGACAAGGCAATTAATTCTTATAATAAAAATACCCCCATCCACATAGCCAAGGTCTCCATCAGATTCCACAGTGAGCATGCAATACAACACATTCTATTCCACAGGTGCATTTTCTTGTGAGTCTGAGGGGTTAAGATAAATTCTTCCTGGAAATATTAGCTTCTCACAAACTGCTTCCTTGATCGGTAGATACTGTGGTACTTCATTGGGCTCAGTGAAGAAGGATGGCGGTACATGTGTTAAATGAGCAATTTTGCTCTTGTGTTGTATATTCTTGCAACATGTAGGTCTTGCTAGCCTCTGGTGAAGTCTCATGTCATTCATTCTGATAAGCACTCCATCAATTCTCAAAACAAAACAAAACAAAACAAAACAAAACAAAAACCCCACTGCAACAGCAGGAAAAAGCTGGAAAACATTACTTTAATTTTCCCATTTAGACTTGAAACTCTGTGATCATGAAGTTCATCCTCAAACAGGAGGACTTCAAAAAACTTAGTCTGTTCTCTGACTTTCCATTTCTCTATATCTATATGATCTGCTGTAGGTACAACCTTTAACTTGAGTGATTCCTCAAGTGACGTTCCCTTACAATCTGTTGTATAGGTCTAATCGTGTGGCTTAATGTTCCTTGGAATGTTCACCTTCCATCCTGCCTTCCTGCCCCTCTTCCGCACAGAACACTTGGAGCATTCCTTGGTGGTTTACACATCTTAAAGCATCTGTAGCATTAAATCAATCCCAAAGTCAGAACAGTGCTGGATTCTTAAAACATTGTCTCCAAACATCATTTTGGAGAGGGATGGCATATGCAGTTCATCAGCTAACTTCTCCACGTCGGCCACCTTCATAATGTGCGTCTTGGTAGCCGTCAGCTTTCAGGGAAGCCATGGATCATCATGGCCGAGGGGGAGACTGTGCGGGCTGCGCAGGGCAGGGTGGGCTGGAGCCTCAGTGGCAGCAGACACCAGCTCTTCACCTTGCTGCAGCCCAGCTCCACACCCCCCTCTCTGCCTTGACTTGAATCTGCTTGCCTCCTGCTGTGCACCTGGGTTCCTAACAGACCACGGACCCATACCACTCTGGCCCTGGGGGTTGGGGACCCACTTTATTGGGTTTCTCTAACCTGGTGTCTTACAAAGAGCAGCAGACTCTGTGGTCATAAGGGTTTGGCCTCTGGAGCCAGGTTGTCTAAGTCTGAAGTCTGCTTTGCTCCTTACTAGTTATGTGACCTTGGAAAGTGACTTAACTTTTCAGTACTCACTTTCTTCATCTGTAAACCAGGGATGATTGTCATCATAAGGTTGTGGTGAGAAATAACAGACTAAATACACTCTCAGCACAGCCTGGCATGTCATCTCTCAGTGTTAAGTGATGTTATTGGGCCTCGGGATCTTCACTGAAAAGAAGCATTAGGCTTTAAGGTCCCTGAAGCCTCTATGAAGTTGCCCCTGCAGCTGAAGCAGCCAATGGCTCCCTTCCCTTTCTTTTTTGGAAAATGTTCTTAAAGCCCTGGCTGGCTTAGCTGGCAGATTGAGCACAGGCTGTGAACCAAAGTGTCGCAGGTTCGATTCCCAGTCAGGGTACATGCCTGGGTTGCAGGCCATGACCCCCGGCAACCACACATTGATGTTTCTCTCTCTCTCTCTCTCTCTCTCTCTCTCTCTCCCCCCTCCCTTCCCTCTCTAAATAAATAAATATTTAAAAAAACTAGTTCTGAAAAAAATTTAAAAAGAGAAAAATTTTATTAAAGTATAGTTGACATACAATAGTATATTAGTTTCAGGTGCACAACGTAGTGATTCAACATTCATATGCCTTACTATGTGATCCCCACACTAAGTCTAGTAACCATCTGTCACCATGCAAAGTTATCACAATATTATTGACCCTATTCCCTGTGCTATACATCACCTACCTGTGGCTTAGTTATTTATAACTGAAAATTTGTACCTTTTATTCCCCTTCACCTTTTTCACCCATCCCTCCCATACCCACCCCTCTGGCAACCAGTTTGTTCACTGTTTCCATGGGTGTATTTTTGTTTTGTTTGTTCATTTGTTTTATTCTTTAGATTCCACATGCAGGTGATATACTAAAGTATTTGTCTTTCTCTCTCTGACTTATTTCACTTAGTATAATACCCTCTAGGCCCATCCATATTGCCTTTTTTATTGCTGGAGTCTGGGGTCAGAGTTTTAACCCAATTTCACACTGGGTGGCTTCGCACCTCCTCCTTCAGGCTTCACTTCCTGATAGGTGGTCTGAAGTCACTCTTCACAGCACTTCCCAGGCTCATCTGGGGTCTTCCCTCCACATCCACGAAGAAAACAAAGGTTCTTCCGGGCTACAGGGGCAGCTCGACACAGGACTTTCAACCCCTCCCCGCCCCACCCCACGGGACCCCCTTTTTTGACTCAGAGGCTCCCAGAGTGTGGGGTGGGCTCCCAGAACTGACTGGAAAAATGGGGGTAGGGTGCAGCGCGGTTATTGTCCAAATCTGGCCTCTCTTTGGGGGCGTGATCTGGGGGACCACTGGACCTCTCAGACTGAGTCCCTTCTAGGGCATGGAGATGTGAGGGCGGGATTGAGAGGGGTTTCCTCTGGGTCTAACGCACCCACTCCCTTCCGTCCTATGGTTTTCAGTTTCCTCAAAGGACTGCAAATTATGATAGAGTCGAAAGGAGCAGTCACACCTGCCCATCTACTTCCACGGACTCTGCACCCATTTAAACCTCCCCTGGCGGCTGTATTTATGCTCCTACTCCAGGGAACTCCACCATCCCACTGGGGACAAGAGGTGAGCGGGACACGCATGCGCGGATACCATTGCTACCCAGGACTGGCTGACTCCTCCTGAAGGCCCGGTGCGGGTTGGGGGCGGGGGGTACATGCGCAGATGCCACACTCCACTCTAGCAGGAAAGATGCTGCGAGTGGGTGGTGGTGTCAAGCTGAATTTGTGCTTCTTTGCCTCACCCCAACCGCGCCGTCGCCCCTTTTCTGTCCCTGGATCTCGTGTTCCCACTCAGGACTACATGACAGCCCTGTATTGGAGTCTTAGAGTGAATCCTTCCGTTTCCACGGGCAGTCCCTCTAATAAAGAAAATGAACGTGTGTATGACAAGCATAGTGACTCTAAGGTGCTTTTGCCTGAAGTGGGTGCAGCCTGTACAGGGATTGCCATCAAATCCTTGGTTTCAGACCCGGTGTCTTTTCTTCCCCATCTGGAAGTGGCAGAAATAAAAGAGGAACTTGTCTCCTGCCCAAAACCCTTCGCCAGACACTTTAGGTTCCCTCAGGCCCTTTGAGGACAACAGCTATCCTAAAGCTCCTATTGATGACATATCAGGGTCTCCCCACTATGCTCCACACCCCCGCCATTAGGACAGTCTCACGTGGCGCAAAGTGGCCCAGGGTGGAGCGCATGGCAGTAAGACGGCGGACACAATACACTCGGATAAAGCGAGTATTCATTCCTACCTCAAGGCGTAGAAACTTGAGACTTTGTGATCAATACGACGTGACCCTGGTCCTACAGCCGTTCCTTCCGTGGGTCCGTGGTCAAGACTTATTACAAACACTGCCTCTAAAGCCTTGCACTGGGCCCTGACTGGGTCAGTAGGCTGGAGCATCCTCCCCTGCAACAAAAGGTTGCGGTTGGATCCTGGTCAGGGCGCAGTTAGGTTGCAGGTTGCTTCCCTGGTCGGGGCGCTTTCGATTTTGGGAGGCAACTGATCGGAGTTTCTCGATGTTTCTCTCCCACATCCATGTTTCTATCTCTCTTCTTTTCTCTAAAAATCAATAAACATGTCCTCCGGTGAGGATTTTTACAACATTAAGAAAAAAAAAAAGCCTCTCACTCGAATGGGTACCCCCACCCCCATCCTGCGCCCCGCCCCCAACTTCTGGGTGTTGGGCGATCACTGCGGTTGGGGTTTCACTGGCAGCTGCTGCCCAGCCCAGGCTGACTCATCTCTCCCTCCCCCTTACCCCGTTTATTCTGTTCCAAGTCTTTCCCAACTCGGGGTGGGAGCGAGAAGACTATCAGAATCTCTCCGTGGTCCTCTTGATTTGGGGGGTCGAGGGAGTGGTGGGAGAAACTAGTCTACCCCCGGGGACTGGAGAGCTGGGAGTCTCAGAAGGAAGGCCCCGCAGCCTTGGAGGGAGAAGACTGGTTCTGCCGGTATTGCCAGACCCTCCCTCCTCCAGCTCCAGTCCTTTGCCTGCAGCGGCTGTCACTCCTCGCTCTGGTGCCAGCTGGCTCTTGGTTCCTCGCCTTCATTGCTGCCTGCTTGCTTTCCTGCTTTCCTTGGGCTGTCCACGTTCCCTTCCTTTCCTCCCCCACAGCCTCCCTGGTTCGGGGCCTCTTTGCCTTCCTCCACCTCCATATTACTAGGATATCGCCGTCTCCCTCCCATTCCTTCTCTCCCTTCGAAAACAAACAAATACACACCCCCACGGGTCCTATAATGGCTTCATTAAGCCTGCGAATGACTGACTCCCAGCTTTCTTGTTCTCCCGCTGTATGGATGTGTAAACAATGAGGTAATTCTTCCAAGGCTGTGAAGGCAAAGTGGGCATAAGTGGAACTGACACTGAACTAATCACAATACTTACTTATTCCATCAAATGACGCAGGTTTATTGCGATGTATTCATTCACTCAGCAAACACTGCCATCTGTCTGACCGGGGCGCTGTATGGCATACCAAGGACACAGAGATCAGAACAGACCCCTGATCCGCCCCCCCGGACGTAAGTAGTGGTTCAGAGGTGGGTGTACAGAGCTGTGGTAGTGCCAGGGGGCATCTCACAGTCCTGAGGATTATCTGGGGTAGGGTTGCCAGATTTATTTTAGCAAATGAAAATACGGGGTGCTCATTTGGATATGAATTTAGATAAATACCTAATAATTTTGGTTAACAATAAATAAATATCGCATGGGAGGTACTTAGACTAAAAATGATTTGTTGTTTATCAGCCCTGGCTGGCGTAGCTCAGTGGATTGAGCGCGGGCTGGGAACCAAAGTGTCCCAGGTTCAATTCCCAGCCAGGGTACATTCCTGGGTTGCAGGCCATAACCCCCAGCAACTGCACATTGATGTTTCTCTCTCTCTATCTCCCTCCCTTCCCTCTCTAAAAATAAATAAATAAAATTAAAAAAAATGATTTGTTGTTTATCTGAAATTCAAATTTACTTCCTGGAGCATCCTATATCTCATCTGGCAGCATTACTGTGCATTGTTGCTGTCGGACAGTTATACAGGCTGCAGTCAGGAAAGTTAGCAGCTGCAATTACGGACAGTCTTACAAGTGAGGGGGAATCACCGAAAGGCTTTAAAGCAAGGAGAGTAACATAGTAAACTTTGAGTTTTAGGAAGGGGGTTCTGCTGGCTTCTTGGAGGGTCCTTTTAAGAGGGACAACAGTGGGATTTGACAGGTACAATAGTACAAGAGATTTTGGATGGTGAAAATAGGAAGATAGGAGAGAGGAAGTGCCAGATTCAAGAAGTATGTAGGACTTAAGTCAGGAGGATTTGGCAATTGATTAGATGGAGTGGAAAGGGCATTAGTCCCAGGGTCTGGCTTTGGAGTCTATGAAGATAATATTGCTACCAACTGAGATAGAGCAAGTTTAGGGGACAATGGTTGAGTTTCATTTAAGACGTGTTGGAGTACCTAAGAGCCACCTGGTGTAGGGAGCTAGCAAATGACTGACTATCTCATTCTGAACTTCAGTGGTGAGGTGAGCTGGAGGTAGAGATTGGGAAGTCCTCAACAGAGAGGCAGTATCGAAACCAGGGGATTAATGAGCTCCCTAGTGAGGGAACAGGAGAAAAGAAACACAGGAAGCAGACCAAGAAGGAACAGTCAGGGAAATAGTAGGAATCAGGAAAGTGAGGTGTCATGGAAGCGAAGGGGTGTTTGTAGGAGAAGGAAGTGTTCAACCATGTCAAACACAGCTAAAAAGTTCTGATTACACAAAGGCTGGACAATGCCATTGATTTGGGCAATGCTAGTCATCATGACCTTAGGCTGGTATCACACAGATTCATTCACATGTCAGCCCCATTAATTCAAATGGTGGACACTCAGCACACTCTCAGAGGCTCGCCACAGTCATTCTCATGTCCCGCATGCTGTTTCAGAGCTTAAATCATTCATTCAAATTGTGCCCCAACTCACTCGGAAATTAGAGGCACACATTTGGATCCTCTCCATATCCGTCATTTGACGTCCTTTATAGTTGCCGATGCCACCTCAGAGCCAGCCAGAACCAGTGCAACTTGGTCTTTGCAGGGGTAACTGTAGGTCTCCACAAGGGTTGAACGATTTATCTTGTATTAATATTTTTTATCTCTCAGGAGTAAAAACCACCTCTGTGCTTCTCTCATCTCCTGATAGGGCTAGTACCCTTGGGGATTGTGAGGTAGTGCTGAATGTTGCTGGTTCTGGTGTCCCTGACATGCCCCTTTGCTCACCTCTGACCCTCAAGCACCTAAACTGATGAATGTCTGTTGTGTGCAAATGTTGAGTTCAATCTATTCCCTATTTTCTAATGATCTTGAGGCAGAGGTGCAAACAGTAAAGACAGGGGATGCTCAATGGAACAAATCCCCAGGGAAGTGGGAGGAGCTAGGACCCAGAGCCCAGTGGGAAGGGCAAGCCCCAAACAAGACCTCTCTTCTCTGAGACCCAAGGAGAGTGTGGCCTGGAGAGAATGTTGCAGGTGACAAGAGAGAAAGCATTCACCTAATGGCCTCCATTTGCTCTAAACACAGAAGGTCTTAACCAAGAGTCCACAGCCCCTTTGGAATCTATAGAGAGAATTTAAGGAGCCCATGGACTTGGATGAGGGAGGCAGGAAATTGCATCTTAATTTTCACTATCACTAACAGGAATGTAGCATGTCCTTCTAGGGGATGTAGGTAACAAGCTAAAGCAGTCCCTATGGCTTTGTCACCAACAGAAATAAGATTTTCATGCCTTATCATGGTTGTTGCAGATCTCTCAAAATAACATCATTATTTTATTTGTTTAAAGAATCTTATTTATTTTTAGACAGAGAGGAAGGGAGGGAGAAAGAGAGGGAAAGAAACATCAATGTGTGATTGCCTCCTGTGTGCTCCCTACCAAGGACCTGGCCTGCAACCCAAGCATGTGCCTGACTGGGAATCAAATCAGCAACCCTTTGCTTCGCAGCCTGGTGCTCAATCCACTGAGCCACACCAGCCAGGTATAACTTGGTGTTTAATGTATTGATGAAGAAGCTTTATCAATGACAGATGTATTTCTTATTATTTTGACAATTGTATTTCTTTTGTAATCTATTTATCTTATGTATTCATTATTCTGGGAGGGGGTTCCTTAAGATCTCACCAGACCACTCCAGAGCTGTCCACAACACAAAAAAAGTCTAGGAGACACTGCTCCGAAGAGTAACAGCAGCTTACTTTTACATAGCTCTTGCTAAAGGCCAGGTACTGTTCAAAGTATCTTTAAAATATATATATACTGTACGTTAACTCATTTATTCCTAACAACTTTACAAGGTAGGTGCTTTGATTATACCCATTTTGTAGAAGAGGAAACTGAGGCACAACAGTTAAGTAACTTGCCTAAGGTCATTCATCTAGGAAATGATGGAGTTGAGATTCAAACCCAGGCCTTCTAACTTTAGGGCCTGTGCTAAAATGTTGAGGACTTCAATCAGTAGAAGGCCAAGGGGCAAATGGGTTGAGAGTGTGGTAAGAACAGGTAAAGAGAGAGGGGAAATGAGAGAGAGAGGTTCTACTCTGGCCAAGAGAAAAGTAGGAAGAGGTCACTAGGCTGGAAGAAAATAGAAAGACCCACAGGGTTCAAGGAGATAAAAGAAGTGGTAATGGGGAGGAGACCCAAGATGAGTGGGAGAACATGGTCAGAGTGAGAGACAGTGGTATGTGGATGCCAGGGACTTGGGGAGTCATTCCAAGCCATGACAAGGTTAATAATGCAGCCTAGACAGAGGTGATGAAAGTGGAGAAGTGGAGGTCCCTGAAGTTGAGTAGATGAAGGAATCATGAAGCCGGACCTGCAAATTCTTTCAAGACTGATTGGTTGATAGACTCATTCATTCATGCATGCATTTGTACTGGTATATGCCAGTCAGTGTTCTTGGCATTGGGTTACCCAAAGGTGAACCAGCAGAACAAGACTCTGATGCCATGAGCTTACTCTCTAGCAGGGAAAGAGTTACACACACATACGCATGCACACACACAAACAAGGCCTGTTAGACAAGGCTCAAAAGCTTTTAGGTACAATTCCACAATGTCAGAAGTTCTGGAAAGCAAAAGGCTGTTTTTTCATACCTTAGAGCCCAAACATTAGGTAACTAAACCTGAGCTGAAGTAGTATGAGGCTGTTTATAGTCTTGATTCACACTTAGTGTAAATTTTCATACTCTTCACTCTAGAAATATTAATGTTTAATTATAAGTAATGCTCCGGACCTTTCTCTGTAGTTATATAATAATAGTATATGCAGCATATAGAGTTATATAATATTGAGTTTATGTGTTCCTTTTTAACATTGAAAAAATTCTGAATTGTAAAACATATTTGGTCCCAAGTTTGGAAAAAAGATTATGGACTTGTAAGTGCTATGCAGAAAATTCCAATATATAATGTGTTAGTTTGCAAATTGGCTCCCATACACAGAGGGTAATCAGAGATGGAAGAAAGGAGCAGACCATTCCAGATTGGTACGTGGCAGGTTTAATAATCAAGAGAACTTACATATGAGGCTTGTCTTGGGTGGCCACAAGATGAGATCTCGGCACCCACCCGTCAGAATTTTAAAAGTTTACATAGAGGCCTTAACGGGGTTCAGTCACATATACTGTCCAGATGGTCTCAGCAACGCATTGCTCTCTCAAGGCTGTGTCCTTGAAATGGCTCTGGCTTTGGGAATGATGGGCAGAATGGATAGGGGTGGGGGTGTGAAGGCCTCAATTTCCTGGTTCCGGCTGGCAGGACAACTGGCAGTCACATCAACTTAAAAAAAAAAGCTTAAAAAAACATTTTTATTTATTTGTTCTTAGAGGGGATGGGAAGGAGGAAGAGAGGGAGAGAGAAAGAGAAACATTGATGTGTTGAAAGAAACATCCATTGGTTGCCTCTAAAATAAAAAAAAAAGATTTTATTTATGTATTCTTAGAGAGAGGGGAAGGGAGGGAGAAAGAGATGGAGAGGAACATCCATGTGTGAGACAAATATCATTCGGTTGTCTCTTGCACTCGCCCAACTGGGGACCTGGCCCGCAACCCAGGGATGTGCCTTGACTGGGAAGTGAACCAGCAGCCTTTCAGTTTGCAGACTGGCACTCAATCCACTGAACCACACCAGTCAGGGCCAGTCACATCCTCTTCCAACCCATTGGGATAGTAACTAGGTGGCTACAGCTTGAGTGGTCAGGGAGGGCAGGTGACATTTAAGCAAGTCATAGCGACAGGCAGTCATGCAAAAAGCAGGGGGAGAGCATTCCAAGCAGAGGGAATAGCTAATGAAAAGATGAACACAAAGAGGCGACTGCAGCTGGAGCTTATTAGGCCTGGTGAGGAGCTACAAATTGCTAGAAGGACTTCATGTAGTCAGAAAGATCGTGAGTCTGGTACTAAATCTTTTGATGAATATGGTGTAATAACTATGAATGTGCTGGTTGTCAACAACCAGGAGGCCCAGAGGGGAGTCTTCCTGGGTGAGAAAGCATATGGGAAGATTGTTGAGATAGAGGAAACAAAAAGCTGAACAGGGCTGAAAATACACAGTTAGATTTATGACTTGAAGACCTCAGTTTGGGGAAAAGTATAGAAGGAAGTCAGATTAGGTGGATTCTAATCTTCCACCTGGACTCAAGATTCTAACTGGGAGACTGGTTGAAAAATGTTGTACGTCAGTGGTCCCCAACCTTTTTGGCACCAGGGACTGGTTTGGTAGAAGACAAGTTTTCCATGGATGGGTGTGGGGGGATGGTTTCCGGATGATTAAAGTGCATTACATTCAAGCTCACCTCCTGCAGTGTCGCCCAGTTCCTAAGAGGTGGGGACCGGTACAGCTCCGTGGCTCAGAGGTTGGGGACCCTTGTTCTAGATGACCAAAGACCTGGTTCATAAATGACAACCTCTGGTTGAGGTCCAATCTGCAATTTGGGCTTTTGGGTTCAAAATAGTTTAGACACAGAGGATATTAGCAAAGGTTGAACTGGTGAAAGATGTTTTTGCTTCTCTGTTTATGCCTCTCTGGACTGTGCTTCTCAGCAGCTCTGTCTCCAAATGTCTGTCTCCTAGCTTTTGTGTCTGTTAGTGGCTTTCCACATCCCTATCTCTGTAATCTGGTGTGGCATCTCTGTTCCTTGCAATCTATTCAACATATTCATCTCTACGTGGCTCTCAGAATCTCTGTCTTTGGATATTCATGTCTGTGTCCCAGAGCCTGATTCTCTTACCTTCCTTTGTCTGTGTCTGTACTGTAATTTTTTCCAATTTAACTGTGCTCTCCTGGAAGGCATGGACTCTTTATTATTTCTCTGGGCATCCCCAGTGGCACGCAAAAAGGCTAGCATATGAGTCTCTCAGACAGGTTTATACCTGAATGAAGGATTTTTCTGAGTAAGGGACATTCTCTCAACCTCCTGCCCTTCACCACCCTTCCCCGTGGAGCTGGCAGCCTATCTCCGGGCCTGCTAGAGTGCCGGGTGGAGGGTGTAGTATTATGCTGCTGTCCCTTGGTTCTTTCCCCAGTGGCACGGCTCTGAGGGAACTTCATAAAACACAACCTAACCCTCTCGACAGGGGACGACTGCAGTCAGCAGACGCCCGGACGCCCCGCCCGCTTCGCCGGCCCCGCCCCGCTTCGTGAGCCCGGGGGAGGTGCCTGCGGAAAATGGCTGCGGTGTGCCGGAACGTGAAGGTATTTGGGTGCTGGTCCCTGCGGCTGGCTCCGCTACCCTTGCTGGGACAATTGCGGCGTGGAAGTAGGGGGAAGAGATCGGTGCTGGGAGAAATGGTCACGCGTATCTAGGCCTGGTATTGAGGCGGTGGGGCTCGGGAGGTGAAGGTCAACTCTTCACAGCACGAGTATGTAGGGTGACTGGATGGACTGTCTGGGGATGAGAAACCTAGAGGTTCCATCGGTAAGGAGAAGAGGCACAGCTAAATCACTCTGCAGGGGTGATCTGGAGCCTCCCTTGCAGAAACCTGGAGAACAGGCAGATGAAAGGGTCTGCACGGGGTAGCCGTTGACACTGTCCTCTTCACAGGGTCTAGTCGCCATAATAACCGGAGGCGCCTCGGGCCTAGGCCTGGCCACAGCAGAGCGACTGGTGGAGAAGGGGGCCAGTGCTGTTCTTCTGGACCTGCCCAGCTCAGATGGGGAGGTCCAGGCCAAGAAGTTAGGGAAGAGCTGTGCCTTTGCCCCAGCTGACGTAAGTGGGGTCACTTCACCTCTCCTCAGGACACCGGCCTGGGAACCCATGGCGTTCCCCCCTCCCATAGGGTGCTGTGTATGAGCGGTGAACCTATCTACTTTTTTGTTCCCAACAGTGGGGATGGGGACTGGACATAGCAGAAACTCCTGGAGAGGGTATTTATAGTGGGAAAATTCCTATGGTGCCCTGTAATTTTATATTCACACAGTTGAAAAACTTAATAAACAAACTACAGACAGTAAAGCTTGATGCAATCATCTTAGCAAGCAGGGGTACAAAAACGCTAGTCTATCTTCATATCACTAATTCTCAAAACAGTGCTGTGATCCACAGCAATTGAGAATCTCCACTGGCATGTGAATGTATCAAAAGAGGGCATAGAATTGAAAAATATTTTGCAACACTGCTCTGTAGTCCCTAACCTTTTTAGCTTTATCCCACTCTCGAGTTTTCTCTTGGCCTCTTCCTTGCTTACATAATTCTGCCCTTCCTGCCCACAGATTTAGTGGTGAATGTGTGTGCTGGGTGCTGAATACTTCCTTCACCTCTCCCTCTAAAGGTGACCTCAGAGAAGGACGTGCAAGCAGCCCTGGCTCTAGCAAAAGAAAAGTTTGGTCGTGTGGACGTGGCAGTCAATTGTGCAGGCATTGCAGTAGCCGTCAGGACATACAACTTAAAGAAGAACCAGGCCCATACCTTGGAGGACTTCCAGCGAGTTCTCAATGTAAGGCCTTGGAGGTTCTCCAGGGGTAGGAATAAGAGGTGTCTGGTAGTGGGTACCCCCAAAGCTTTAAGGGGATAATAGGCTGCCTCTGCCTCAGGTCCTAACCATATCTCTACTGGTCCTCCAGGTGAATCTCTTAGGTACTTTCAATGTGATCCGCCTTGTGGCTGGTGAGATGGGCCAGAATGAACCAGATCAGGAAGGCCAACGTGGGGTCATCATCAATACTGCCAGTGTGGCTGCCTTTGAGGGCCAGGTGTGTGAGCAGGGCCAAGGCTTGTGCCTTCTCAGTGACTTACTGGGGCCCTCCCACCTACAACCTCCACTCTTTCTCCAGGTTGGACAAGCTGCATATTCTGCTTCCAAGGGGGGCATAGTGGGCATGACATTGCCCATTGCTCGGGACCTGGCTCCCATGGGCATCCGGGTGATAACCATTGCTCCAGGTACACATATCCTGTCCCTGCCACACCTGGGATTGGGTGGGATCTATGGGCAATGAAGAGGGGAAAGTATCCACCACCTAAGCAGCAGCATCCTTGCATCTCTGGGCGTAGAAACACTACAAGAAGGGCTAAGGTGAGTGGGGACCAGGTAAACATGAAAGCGAGGGTGGGCCTCTGACTCTGGCTCTTTTGTCTAGGCCTATTTGGTACCCCACTCCTGAAGAGCCTCCCAGAGAAAGTATGCAACTTCCTGGCCAGCCAAGTGCCCTTCCCCAGGCGACTGGGCGACCCTGCTGAGTATGGTCATCTGGTACAGTCCATTATCGAGAACCCATTCATCAATGGAGAGGTCATCCGGTTGGATGGGGCCATCCGCATGCAGCCTTGAAGGGAGAGGGCAGAGAAAACACTCTTCCAACCTTCCTTCCCCTGGCATACTGTGTTGCAGTTTGGGAGGAAGGTAGTAGCCACTTTGTAACTGCCCACTAGTTACCCTCTGGGCCTAATAAAGTATCTCTTACAGAAGTGGGCAGTGCTGTGTGCTGGGGGAACTGACATAGGGAAGAAAGGTGAATGGGTGAAGACTGACATGTCAGATGCATAGATCCCAGGGGTAGCCAGGAAAAGCAGAACCTCACACCTTTGTGTCCTATTACAACACATGACCTTGATTTTAGTGAACAACTTTATTACCTAGGCTCAAAGGTGGGTGTACTGGCTCAGCTATCTCTGGGGAATGGATTGTGGTCAGAGGTCTGTAGCATTTTCTTTTTTGACTCCTAGCTTCTGTGAGTTTGATGGGGGTGGGAGGAGGAAGAGCCAACCATCTTGAGCTCAGCGGCTGCTGGTGTTGAACTGTAGGTAATAGGCCGTAGGTTGATTGGTGTAGATTATTGAATTCAGGTAATTCTGCCTGTGAAAGAAGTCCAGAAGCCTCAGCTGGCGGGTTTTCCCTCTCTCCCTGGCCCCCACCACCCCCCCCCCCACGTTGGCAGTCATTCCTGCTGGCCACCCCTAGAACTCACTGGGCCTTTTGCTCCTGAGCCAGCTGCTGGTTGAAGGAGCCCAGCCCCCTCCGGAATTCAGCACACAGTTCCTTCTCCTGCTCTTCTAGCTCCAAGGCTGCTTGGGCCAGGTTAATGGCCTGGCTTCCCCATTGGGCTTCCAGTGCTTTTTCGGCCTGGCGCTGTGCCTGCTTTTCATGACGTTGGGCCTCCTGGAATTTCTTGATGGTAGTTCTCGGCTCTGGAGTCATACCTTTCCAGGAATGGGGCAGGACCTGGGAGGGAGCCTCAGCATGCTGGGTGATATGGTGTTTCCCAGTCAGGAGGCCACTGTTGACCTGGTGCTGGATATCCTTGAAGCTGGTGGCCTGTTCACGCTGATGCTCTTGGCGCTTTCGCTCAGCCTGCTCAGCTGCCTGGTGGGATCCCCAAATGTGAGCATTTGGGTGCCCTACCTCAGGGAACTCAGTCACAGGGGAGGGGGAGACATGGCCCTACTGTCCTCCATCTCATGGACAGAAGGGACAGAGATACTGCATGGCCCTTCAATGACCTAAGCTGGGGAAGGGGTAGAATAGACAACTTCCCTGCCTCTGGAAGCCTTTAGATTGATTGAGCAGCTGGGGAAGGGAGGGTAGTGTTCTGTTCTAAAATCATCCTCAGTATGGAGGTGGGGAATGGTATCTTCTACCCTAAGAGGGCTGTTGAGTAAATGAGGAAGTCATCGGGTAGATGAGAGGCTGGTGTTGATTTGAGAATTGTAAGGGGAAAGATGTGGCTGAGGTTCCCAGGACTTTGTTCAGGGGGTTAGGGAGAGCCCAGAACACTGGATGGCTCAGGCCTACCTGGACTTTGTTGGCGTTGGCCACGGCATACCTCATGGCTTTGCAACAGGACTCCTCCAGCTTGGCCAGCTGGGCGGCCTGCGTGTCCACAGCTAGGCGCAGCTTGTCTCTGAGCTCATCTACACAGAGAAATGTGGCCAGGCACTGTACTGGCCTGCTCCATTCGTGGTTCACTAATGCAGCTGTATGTTCAATGAGTATTGTTGGAGTGTGTGTATGTATGTTTTGGAGTGGGGGCAATATCCTAATGCAGGGATGCAGAACGAGTTACTCTGTATAGGTAAGTCTAGCCAAAGTGGCAGTAACCAGGATTTCTCTGGTGCGTAACCGAAAGATGCCTCCAATGGACCTGGATCCCAATGCCAGCTCTGTTGCTTCTGAGCTGTGTGACGTTGGGGAAATAATTCCGTCTCTCTGAGCCTCAGTCTAAGAGCCATGTGTTGGATTCTGAGGACACCACAGAATCAGATCCTTTTCTCAGAGACCCCCTGTCTAGTGGGGGGATGGGTCAAACGCAGATCATCATACTACAGCATGGTAAGGTCAGTGATACAGGGCATTATGAGAGCTTTAGATAGTGGGTGAAAGTAGGCTTCCAGGAGGAGGTGATCCTTGAAATGCATGTTGCATATGGGCAGAAAGAGCAAAGAGCATTCTAGGCCATGGGCATAACATGAGCATAGGAACTGACACTGAATCCAGCCACACTAGTCTTGCTGTTTCTAGAACATGCCAGACACTCCTGCCTTATGGGTTTGCAATAGATGTTACTCTTGGCTCAGCTTTCTTGCTTCCCTCAGGTCTTTGCTCAAATGTTACTGTTTTAGTAAGGCCTTTTCTCTCCTATTTAAAATTGCAACCTGCCTGCCTCCAACATTTATCTCCCTCCCCTGATTTTTCTCTCTAGCATTTGTAACCATCCAATATATGCTACATTTAAAATTATTTTGACTATTCCCTGTCTCTCTCCTCACTAGAAGGTAACCTTCGTGAAGGCAGGGTTTTTGTCTCTCTTATTCACTACCAAGTGCTAGCACCTAGATCAGAGCCTGGCATGTAGTTGGTGCTCAATGAATTCATTTGACAAATATTTATTGAGCATCTACTATGGCACATAAAATGCAAGTGGCTAGAGAGTTCTGTAGGGGCCAGACTAAGGGCCAGAAACTTCACCAGAGGGTGGTGGGGAACATGGGAGGATTTTAATCAAGGAGGTGAACCTGTTAGATTTGCATTTCAGAAAGCTCCTGGTGGGAGGCAGTGGAGATAAGGAACCCATCTTGGAGGCTAGGCAGCAGGCCAGTTGGGAGGATTCAAACTAGACCAGTGCTGGAAAGGCTGGAGGGGAAATATGGGAGGTTACATCAGTAGTACTTAGATGAGGGAGTGAGGGAGAGAAGACTCAGGTGCTTCTCAGGGTGCTGGCTTAGATGACTGCGTACATGGTGTGGCCACCACCAGAAGTAGAAGATACAGAATGAAGAGCAGGTTAGGGGGCACTGATGAACTCTGTTTAGGAAGATGAGTTAGAGATGGTCAGCAGGCATCTGGATATGTGATTCAGCAGGTAGAGAGTCAGGACAGAAGTGATGATATAGCTGAAACCAGAATGAGGGCAAAGGACATCTGGGGTAATTATGCAAGGTAGGGAGAGCAGTGTGTTAGGGACAAAGTCTCATGAAGGAAAGAGTGGAAGGAAGAGGAACTCACAAAAGGCAGACAGAGAAGGATGGTCAGAGAGCTGCGAGCAGATTGTGCTGTCACTGAAGCTGAGGAAGAGAAAGGTTCAAGGAGGAGGATGTAACTAGGGTCAAGTGTAGCAAGAAAGACCTAGTCAAGGAGAAAAGAGTAAACAGAGCCACTTGGGCCTGATAACACCACGGGCCTTGGTGATTTTAGTAAGAGTAGTGGCAGTGAGGTTGTGTGGGGAGAGGAGATCAGAGGGAGAGGCTTGAGGTGTGACCGGGAAATTACCACAACAAGTGGAAGCAGAGTGTTTTAAAAGGTATGGTTGTAAAAAAAAGAAGAAAGGTAGGTAAAGGCAGACAGCTAGCTAGCTCACAGATTCTAGAGGAATCACCCAGTGGAGGGAAGCTTTTGTTTAAGCGGTTTAGATATAAGCTTGTTTATAGCTTGCACAGAAGGGGAAGTGCCTGGGGAAGCGGATGTCAGGGAGCACAGCCTGGGGGGCGGGGCAGGGACAATGGGGTCTGGAGCACAGGTTAAAGGCTTGGCTTTGAAGTGGCACTGTGGCATGGACTTCAGAGACTGGAGGGCTGGGGATGGGGGGAAGAGAAAATAGGGGGGGTGCTGTTTCATTTCACTCTTCACAGCAACTGGGAGAGGAAAGGATCAGCCCCATTTTTCAGATGGGGACACAGAAAGGTCAGAGGTGAAGTAAAAATACCCAAAGCCACACAGTTGGCAAGCAGCAGGTTGTGACTTGAATCCAGGTCTCTAGAGGAATCAGCCCATGCTCCCCCATCCCACTCCACAGCCCCTCATTCAGCACGGTGCTGTGTCTGTGCCCAGCTCTGTTTTCTCACATGCCTGCCTGCTGCTCTGACAGAAATCACCCACTGCTCCTAATTTCCAAACTGATACCTAGGTCTCTGTTCCTATCTGAACTGCTTCAGGTAATTTGACATTATTAATGACTCCTCTCTGAAATTCCTCTTTTGACCTCTGAGGTGCCACTTTCTCATGGAGACTGAGAGAAGGCTAGTATGGCGTAGTGGTCAAGAGCACAGGCTTTGCAGCCAACCTCACTGCATTAACTTCCCGTTTCCATCACCCACTAGCTATACGACTGACCAAGTTACCATCTATGTTCTTCGGTTTCCTCTGCTGACAGTGGGGATAATACCAGTACTTGCACCATAGGGCTGTTGTGATGATTCAATGAGTTACATACATGGTAGAAAGTTTAGCACAGTATCTGGTGCACAGAAAATACTCAATAAAGGTTTGCTATTACTGTTATTGTTGTTATTTTATGCAGCTTTTTCCTATCTCCCTGATCCCTTATCAGTCTTTATTATAGGCTTATTTTCCTCTACTCATTCCATCCACTATGTACCAGGCCCTGTATAAGTCACCGGGGTTGTAGTGGCTCATAAGACAGTTTTGGCCCTGGCTGGTGTGGCTCAGTGATTGAGCACCAGCCTGTGAATCAAAGGGTCACCGGTTTGATTCCCAGTCTAGGGCACATGCCTGGGTTGTGGTCCAGGTCCCCAATAGGGGGCAGTGTTCAAGAAGCAACCACACATTGATGTTTTTTTCCCCTCTCTTTTTCTCTCCCTTCCCCTTTTTAAAAAATAAAATAGAATCTTAAAAAAAAAAAAAGACAGCTTTGGTGTTTGTTCTTACGGAGTGTACCATTTGCTCACCCTTTTCCCAGGTTCCAGGCTTAGCATTCTACTCATCTGCACACACACGCCCCTCCCTCCTTGGCCCCATATCTCTCTCCTTGTAGCCTAGACTGGCCCTGGAACTTCGGGATCATACAGCTACATTGTTGTCTGTCAGCCACCACCTCTTGGCTGCAGTAGTCTTATGCTTGAGCTCCCTGCCTCTAGTCTAACCACCTCTAATCCAACCTCTACAGTGGCTGACAGAGTTATTTGTCAAAAACACAAACCATGTGATTCCAATGCTCAAAACCCCCTGTGGCTCCTAACTCAGTGAAAGCTGAAGTCTTCATTATGGCCCAGAAGGCCTACTTGATCTGCCCCTATCACTTCCCTGACCTCACTTTCTACCACTCTTCCCCTCACTCACTCCATTGCAGCTACTCTGGCATCATCGCTCTTCCTCAGACATTCCAGACATCCTCTCTCCTGCCTCAGGGCCTTTTTCACTAGCTGTTTCCTCTACGTGGGCAGCTCTTCCCTCAGATGTTTGTGCTGCTCACTCTCTCATCTTTAGATGTTTTCAAATGTTATCTCAGTGAGGTTTTCCTTATTTAAAATTGCAACTGTGCACCCTCTCCAAAAGTCCCCATTACCCTACTGTGTGTTATTTTTCTCCCTAGCAATGGTCTTAACCACCTTATGTATTTCACTCTTTTATCATGTTTATTGTCTGTCTGTCCCCATTAGAGTGTGAACTCCACAGCAGAAAGGATTTCTCTGTTTCATTCACTGTGCCAATCGCAAAGTCGATAGCTTAATATTTGCTGAGTATTGAAATGGTCTTGTCACTCCTCTGCTTAAAACCCTTAAGTGGTGATCCACTGCCTACACAATAGTCACAGTTCCTTACCCTGGTGTAGAAGGTTCTTGCCCATTTTCTCTTTTTCCGAGTCCTCAGCCCTGGGCTTCACTAACACTAAACTGTGTATCTTAAAACCCCCAGACCATTCACTGTCCCAGTGCTCTTCCTCTTGCTTCCCCTCTGCCAAGAAGGATTTTTCACCATCCTGGCAAAATAGTATCCAACTTTCTAAAATTGGTTCCTCACAGCTGACCTGTGCCACCCCCCTACCCTGCCTCCCTTTCCTTGTAAGAATTTACCACTTCCGTGTTGGTGTTCTTTCCATGTTCTGTGTGCACATCTGTCACAGTCCCTGTCAGAGAACCTAACACAACATTAAAGCACAAGTATCTGCTGATGCATGACATCTGCATGTATCTTTTCCTCTTACTCTAAACTGATTTTTCTGGAAGGCATAGTTCTGTGGGCTTCTGGAGGGCAGGGTGCTAGAAGTGGGGTGATAATGAAGGGTGAGCAGTGCAAGTAGATAAGAAATAGTCCTTTCCCTGGCTGGTGTGGCTCAGTGGATTGAGTGCCAGCCTGTGAACCGAAGGGTAGCCGGTTCACTTCCTGGTGAGGGCACATGCCTCACCAGGTTGGGGGCCAGGTCCCCAGTGGGAGGTGCAAGAGGCAAGTACACATTGATGTTTTTCTCTTTCTCCCTTCCCCTCTCTCTAAAAATAAATAAATAGAATCTTTAAAAAGAAAAGAAATAGTCCTTGCCCTCAAGAGGCTTACTCTAATGGAAGAGGAGTCACAGACAATGTCATAGTAATGTCATAGTGCTGCTAGTCACTGGGCACTGACTGAAAACCCTTAAGTGAATACTCACTGTCTATACGATAAGGTCACAATTTCTTAGTGTGGTGTTAAGTTTTCTCATCCTCCAAATCCTCAACCCTGGGCTGCACTAACACTAATTTGTGTACCCTAAACTACCAGACCATGCACAGCCCCAGTGCTACAGACTGCACCTCACATACAGAATCTCATTTCATTCTCATGAGCTCTATGTGGTATGATTGTTCCTATTTTAAAGATGAGGTAACTGAAGCCCAGAGAGAATTCATTTGCCCAAACTAACTAGTGAGTAGCAGAGCTATTAGGTCTTTCATTGTGCTGCTGCCTCCATGTAATGGCATGCCAGGCTGATTGGGGACCAATGGCTACACTGTCACTTATTGAAGGAAGGCACAGAAGTTTGGGCTCTGATCAGTCTTTTCAGCAGCTGCCCTATGGGTAATTGGACCTCCCTCCATAGTTCTGGGCTCCTGGCTGCTGTCCCTGACTCAGGACAACTTTGTGCCAGGCTTCAGGTCTCAGCCTGCAGGGTGCAGCTCCTTACCTGCACTGATTTCTTCAGCCCTGGCTTGCTGTTGCTCCTTCACCTGCTTCTCCAGGCTGTGCTTGAACTCCTGCTGCATTCTCCGGCACGTGGTCCTGTCCAAGTCCTCCCTAGAGAGGCACTGCATGCTGGCTGGGCCACATTGGGGCTTAGTGTCACCGCGACAGGCTGAATACCCCTTCCATGGTTGGTCTGGATCCCAAAGGCAAAATTCATGCATCTTCTTGAGCTGCTGCCCCTGTGCTGGAAACTCCTGGACTTTTTGGGGCAGCCAACGTTTTCGTTCTTCCTCTTTCTTCTGCAGCATCTGGGCTACCAGGTCAAAGTGCACCTGGTTGGCACCTAGGAGTGGTGGGCAGGAACTTGGAGAAGGCCCCATGGGAGGGACAGAGCCCATTCAGCAGGGCCTCTGCTCCTAAGGCTCATCTGGTTTGTTCCACCACATCCCAGGCCTCAGGCCCCACTCTGAGGCAGAATGGCCCTACTTCAGTCCACCCAGGTCTGCACATTACCCTCCTTGGCAGGCCTCTGGCCTTGGGCTTTTACCGTAAGCTGCCTCCTTGCTCCGCTCTGCTGCCTCCCGAAGCTTCTGCTCTTGCACCTGGCTGTTCAGCGCTCTAACATCCACCTGATCCCAAAGAAATGTGCTAAATCATGGTAGAGGCCCAGCAGCAGACCTTAAACTGCTCAGAAATCCTGCTTCAAAATCCTCCTATAGAGCCCCAGTGTCTACTGGATGATGTTCCACCATCAGCATGGTCTGTAAGCCCCTCAGTAGTCTAGCTTCTGCCTCATTCTTCTACCTCATCTCAGTACTCCCTTCCCCTCTCCCACCCTCAGGGGCTCTGTGCTTACAGCTTCCTGCACATCTTACACTGTTTGGCAGAGTTTTTGCTCCAGTCATTCCTTCCACACTCCTCCTTCCCTCTTTACCGAAACTCCTATTCATCTGTCAAGCTTGGGCTTCACTTTTCTGAGGCCTCTGACGGGTGCTACTCCCACAGGCCCAGGGACCTGCTATCTACATTATATTGAAGTTTGCCTCTGTCCATGATCTCCTTTGGCAGACTGTGAGCCCAGTAAGGGCCAAGATGGGGCTTTAGCTTTGCATCCCTGCTGTACAGCCCAGTGCTTGAGAGGTGTTTCCTAGGGCCCAGAGCTGGCCCTAGGAAACATCTGCCAACTGGATCTCAGTGGCACCACTCATTCTGCAGTCAACTGCTTACATGTGTCAGGCACTATGCTCTGGTTTCCACAGCCACCATCTCAAGTTAATCCCTCAACGTGTCCTTTAGCCTCATTTAACTGAGGAGGAGCTTGGGGCTCAGAAAAGACATGTGACTCATCCAAAGCCACCCACATAGTAAACAGCAGGTGTGGCCCTGGAGGACAATATGGGGTCTTTTCTGGAATCCCAAGCTGCATCCTTCCTTTAGCCACTCCACCCAGCAGTCTATGTTTTTCTGTATCAATATTTTCTCTTTATTTTGATTATAATTCACTAATTTAAAATGTCTTAAAATCATGCAAAAGGGAATACAGTTTAGTGAAGAATCAGCGTCTCTCCCATCTCTGTCCATCAGCCTGGTTAACGGTTTCTTTTCTAGCCTTCCAGAGAGTTTAGGTGTACACCATACCCAACATCCTTTACACTTCTTTTGGCTAGACGTTGGTTTTCTCTCAAGGATGAGGCCACTTGGCCCAGAACTGACTGGAGCAGAGTCAGCTGTCACCCGCCCTTCTTCCCCCAGTCTCTTCCTCTGTAGCCCAATCTCCTTCCTAGGCCCTTCCCCCACCTGGGGGTGGGTGCCTTCCCCCCTTCCTTTCCAGCCCCAGGGTGTGCTCAAATCAGGGAGGGACTGTAACAGGCACTGCTATGTTCCTCTTCAGGTGTGAAAGTGAGGTGGTTCTGGGTCCCAAGGAAGTCCTCGCTGCCCACTCACCCCTATGACTCGGGTCCGCACATCAAAGAATCGGTTTTGTCGCTCTCTTTCTCGACTTCTTCTAGCCTCAATGGCTGCCACCTCCTTGGGATCTGGTGGCAGGTTTAGGTTAAACATCTGGAGAAAGGGTGAGGTGGGATGGGCCATCAGTGCTATACCCCGCCCCCATTCCTTTCTCCCCATAGTATCTCACTAGTTAATTGATTCCCAGTGATTTTACTTTCCTGTTACATTTCATGTTAGTGTCTTCCATCTCTGCTGTCACTACCCTAATTCAGGCCTCACCATCCGGTGCCAGGCAGTATTTCCAGGAGCTTGACTGGCCTCCCTTGCTCAAGTGTTACCCTATTTCTTTCTCTGCGTTGGCTACCAGAGAGATCCTTCTAAAAGTGAATCTTACCATGCCCACCCCCACCCCAGCTTAAAACCTTTAAAAAACAGCTTTAAAGCAAATGGTTTCCCAGTGTCTACAAGATAAAGTCTAACCCCCATCTGCTAGATTTATAAGGATGTCTCCACGATGCGATGCCTGCTTACCTGTCCAAGCCTCAAACACATGTGCGACACTCCCCCTTTCACATTGTGCTTTATTCGCTTTTCCTCACTTTAGGAAATGGCACCACTATTCCCTCTTTATTTACTTTTATTATTCTGTAGTCAAATGAAAGGCTAGAGGGCTTAATCATGCCTGTGTTCGTTCATATTTTGGGGACCCCACTTTTGGCATGGGGAGCCAACCAAAGCCACAGCTAAAAACACTTGTGCAAACATAAATCTTAAATCTCTCACCTGCTTAAAGCCTTCCACTACCTTCCCATCGCACTTAGAATCAGATCCAAACTCCTGACTGTGCCCTTTCAAGAGCCCATTCCTATACTCCTCTGTAGTTCATCTTGTGCCACCAGCTCCCTTGCCGCCGGTGCTCCCGGCTCACTGGTATCAGGTCCTCCAATAAAACAACTGCTCCCACCTCAGGGTCTTCACACATGGTGTTCTTCTGTTTGGAACGCCATTCCTCAGCTCCCCCTACAGCTAGTTCTCACCTTGTTCCAAAAAACTATTTTGTAAAATATTAGATACATTCAGAAATATATATATATATTCCTGATGCTATATGTATGTGTGTGTATATATAGGAGTATAGGGCAATACATATACTCCTGTGTGTATATATATGTATATACATACATATACATACATATACATACATATGTATATGTATGTGTGTGTGCGTATATACAGTCCTGTGTGTGTGTGTGTGTGTGTGTGTGTGTATATATTGCCCTATACTCCTGTATACATGTGTATACAGGAATATATATTCCTGTATGTATATATATACACACACATATTAATTGCATGCATTAATATATGCATTAATATACTATGTGTACCATTCCCTGAACACTATCTTAAAATATTTTCTTGTCTTGGAATTTTATAAAATCATCATGCAGTATATATTGTTCTACACCTTGCTTTTCTCATTCACGTTCATTCTATCATTTCACAAATATTTGTGGAGTACCTCCTGTCAGACACTCTTTGAAGTATTGGGAGACATCAAGGAGTGTAAGTGATAAAACTCTGAATTCTTGTGGAGATTATTTTCTAGTGGGGGCAGGAACACAATCAATAAATAGTGCATTAAATAGTTTGTAAGATGATGATATAAGTGCTATGGGAAAAATTCAGGATAGTGCCAAGGAAATGGGAGGTGTCTCAATTTTAAATATGGAAGTCAGGGGAGGCAAAACTAAGCGGGTAATATTTGAGTGAATACTTGAAGGTGAGAGAGTCACCTGTGCAGGTATCTAGGAGGACGGCACTCCAGGCAGAGGAAACAGCAAGTGCAAAGGCTTTAAGATGGACACAAGAAATATATATTCAAGGGAACAGCAGGAGGCAAGTGTGTGAGTGAAGGAGAGGTAGGAGGAAATGTCATTAGAGAGAGAATTTGCAGACCATTGTAAAGGCCATGGCTTTCACTCCGAGAGAAATAGGCAGCCAGTGGAGGGTTTTGAGCACTAGGACTGATGTGGTTTGCCTTTGACTTTTAAAGCACAACTCTGATTGCTGTGTTAAGAATAGACTTGGAGTAAGGGAGGCCAGGCTAGAAGCCAGGAGACCAGTCAGAAGGCCATAGCAGTTGTCCAGGCAATAGATGATGGTGACTCACACTGGGTTGGTAATAGCAGCAGTGGTGAGAAGTGGTCAGGTTCTGGATATATTTTGATGGCTGAGCTGACAAGATTTTCTGGTGAATTGGATGTGCAGTGTGAGAGCAGTATCAAGAAAGATTTTAAGGTTTGGGCCTACAGAAGGATTACACATGCTATTTCACTGCCCTCAAGGTTAGCCACACAATTTGCTCTGCCATCTCTAGTGTGAGAATTGACATGTGTCATTGCCAAGCAGAACTAAGAGCCGTTAGGTGATAACTACTTTTTCTCTTCACTCGCTGCTCTGAGACTGGCAGTGTTCCAGGTAAGGGCCACTCCTTTGGCCTGGATCACTGGAATGATGACATTGAGCAGAGATGCAGCCAACCCACAGTGGACAAGAAGCAGGAGTGAGAAATCAATGTGTGTTTTTATAAGCTGCTGAGATTCGGGGGCTGTTTGTAACCTCAGCATAATTTAGCCTATCCCGACTGATACAAAGGAATTTAAAGCTATAAGGCTGTAAGGCTGTAAGAGACCTCTAAGGGAGTGAGAGTAAATGGTTAAGAATGTGCCAGGGGAGACAGGGGGAGAGGACCAGCACTGTAGGCTAAAGAGGAATGGCCAGCAAGCTGGGAGAAAAACCAGGAGTGTGGTGTCAAAGAAGCCAAGTGAAGAAAATGATTTTTGGGGGAAAGAGTGAGCAACTGATGATGGGTTAAGAGGAGGACGAAGGACTGATTGATTTGGTAACGTGAGCATTGCTGATGACCGTGACAAGCACAGTTTTGGTAGCACTGTAGGTAGAGCTGTCTGACTGAAGTGGGTTCAAGGGGACCAGGACTCTGTGGCACAAGCAACACAGTTTATTTTTTGATTGCAAGAGAAAAAGAGGGAGGAGTAACCTGTAGGTTAAAAAAGACGTATACACAGGTGGGAAGTTTCTTTAGCATATACCCAGGAGTGGAAGTGCTGAATCCTAGCACTTAAAGAATGTTTAACTTTACAAGATAATGCTAACTTGTTTTTCCAAGGAGATTGTATCAACTTACCCCTTTACTGCAGTGTATAAAAACTCCAGGCACCCCACATCTTCACCAACACTTGGTATTGCAGACTTTTTAATTTTTGCCCATTTGTGAGTATACAAGTATAATTATCAATTTGAATTGGAATTTTCCTTACTGATAATGAGGTTGCACATCTTTTCATGTGTGTTTTGGCTATGTTTGTTTATTCTTCTCGGAAGTGCCCATTCATATCTTTTGTTCATTAAAAAAATCAGATTGTTTGCTCTTTTCTTATTAATTTTAGGAGTTCGTTATGTATTCTACCCACAAATCATTTCTTAGTTTACATGTGGCAAATCTCTTCAATTTGTGGCTGGTCTTTTCACCTGATTATTATTTGACAATAGTTTTTATTATTTAAGAAATCCCCTGAGATCATAAAGATATTCTCCCATATATTCTAAAATTCCTAAAGTCTTGCCTTTCTCATTTAAGTTTTTAACCCTTCTGGAATTGCATTTTGTATATGGTATCAGAGGTAGGGACTCAATATGATTTTCCCCCTGCCAAGCTGCATTTTCTGTCAGATTGCTGTCCTTTGGTCATTATATCCCCTCGGCCTGATGGTGACTGTTTCTCCAAGTTGAACTTCATTTATGGTTCCTGTGCTAGGTTCTGTCAACTAAGCCTTCTCATTTTCCTGGACTTATCCTAACACTTTAAGACTCTTGTGAGCCTCCAGACATCATTTTAAAAATAATTACAGGGATACTATGGCAACCACCAGACCCTTTCCATGTCTAAGCCTAAGCACCAACTGCAGCCTGTCCATTCTGTCCATCACCACAATATAAGGTCACTGAAGGAGAAGATTCTGCAGACATTTTACGCTTCTTGGACTGCTAAGGCCATGGCCTTAGTAATGACAGGTATAAGGTAATAGGGGGATGAAGGGATTGTGAAGAGGGGTATAAATGATGGGGAACAAAGAGGGGAAAGGGACAGAGAGGGCAGACATGGGGGCAGAGAAGGAAAGAGGAAGGAGGGCAACAGGGGCGTTGACAGGGGTGGAGGACAGGGAGCAGAGAGATAAAGAGGAAGGCGGGAAGCAAGGGGATGGGGCAGGCCCAGGGGGGATGGAAAGGAGGGAATGGGATGGGGGTGAGGCATGAAGAGAGATAGGAATTGGAGAGATGGGAAGAAGAATAAAGGTTAAAGGTGGAGAACACTGGCTTAGGGATCATGACTCCCAAGGGTTCACAGAAAATACCTTTTTCAGCAAGGCGTCCCAGGTTTGAAGCTCCTAGTTGGGATCTAGGTTCAAGTAGCCAACAAGTGGCTCAGGTCCACCACCGCTCTTGTGCTACTGCGTCAGTCTCTGAACTCTGCTTGGAGGAGCAGGAGGGAGGCAGAGGATAGAGGCAGAACCTCTGGCCATAGCTTTCCCCAGCCCGTATCACTGTGGCTCCACGGCACCATCATCTCCCTTCACACCTTACCCCGCTTCAAACCCCACTCCACCTTTAACTTCATCCCACTCCGCTTCCACCCACAGCAAGGTCTGAGCTCACCTAACTCCGAATCCCCCCGCTGGCTCCCCCTTCCCACACAGCGCTACGCTCCCTGGGGTCCATTTCGTATCGTGTTCTTGTTTGAACCTTCTAACCCGCCAGGCTAAAGATACATCCGATCTCCCACCTTCCTCCTGCCCTGGAGGGCATAATCCTACTGTGACTTCTGACGTCTCAGCAAGCGTGAGCTCCGATCCGGTCGGTTTTCTGGGATCTCAAAACCGTCTCAGTCCTCCGGGAACCGCTACCTCTGCGATTCGCTGGGTAGAGGCGGTGGCCTGTGTCGCCAAGCAACAAGAAAGGGGGGCGGGACCTAAACGGTTGTCGTAAGCTCGCGTCCTGGCAACGGATCAACAAAACTTGCACGCCAGCCGGAAGACCCTCCCCCTGGCACCCACCCGCGCCGGAAGCCGGAAATCTCGTTTGGCCTGGATTTATCTCGCGAGGTTTGTTATCAGCCCGGCCTGCACTGCGGTGTTTCCCGCGCAGGCTACTCCAGTTCCAGTTTTACGGCGCGGCCATTCGTGCAGCCGCTGGCGCCGCCGCCGTCATGGGTTTCCTGAAACTGATTGAGATTGAGAACTTTAAGTCGTATAAGGGTCGACAGATAATCGGACCATTTCAGAGGTTCACCGCCATCATTGGACCCAATGGCTCTGGTGAGAAAAACCCCGCTGCCGTACTGGGGACGTCCCGCCCTGGTGCCCTATCCAGCAGCATAGTACAACCCAGCCCCTGGCACCTGAAATGTCGCGAACCCTAACCGGTTCCTTGCCCCTCCTTAGGGGGTTCGGCCCAAACCCACTTTCCCCGCTCGGGTGCTCCGACTTGAACCTCCTTCCTAGATGTCAGTTGCCCGCTCTTTGCGCCGCCCCCGCTCTTGCCTGAGTGGTACGCTCCGGGGCTGTACATTTCCTCCCTCTGCCCCCTCCCGCCAAAAGTGGCGGTCCAGAGTTAGCTGCCAGTTGGATTCCCCGCTTTGTATGAACCCCCTGGAGATGTGGGGCCGCTGGTAGCCCTCCCATGGCCTCCAGTCCCAAACGGTACACTTAACCCGTCCCGCCTCACATTGGTACGTTCCACTTTCTTTCTTTCTTTTTTCTTTTTTTTTTTTTTTACTCCCCTTTAGAGGCGGGCAATTTTGAATATGATACCAAGCGCTCCAGTCTCCAGAGTGCTTGTAGTTTCGACCCTCCATCCCCCCAACCCCCATCTCAGAGGTGTAGATGCCTCGAACACGCCCCTGTGCTAGCACTGAAACTGCTAAAAATCAGAACTGAATCTCTCGCCAAATTTATTGAATACTTATTATCTCATAAGGAGTGTTTCAAGGTGCTGTGGAGACGGCGGAGAATAGAATAAGCCATGCACCCAGGGAATTTACAATCCAGAGGGGAAAGACGATAATAAAGGAGAAAATAAGATAATTTTCGGCTCTGATAAGTGCTGTGCAGGAAATGAGACAGACTGATGTGATGGAGTGACTTGGATGGTGTCAGTAGTTAATAGAAAGAGTAGTCGGTAGTTAACAATACTGTATTGTAAATTTAAAAGTTGCTGAGTAAAAATTACTGAGAGTAGATCTTAAAAGGTCTCATCACAAGAAAGAAAATTGTAATTTCGTGAGGTGATGGATGTTAACTAAACTTATTGTGGCTATTATTTTGCAATATATACAAATAAGGAATCATTATACTGTACACTGGAAACTAAGATAATATTATGTCAGTTATTTAAAAATGGGGAAAACAAAGAAAGGGTGGTCGTGGGTCTAGTGTCTGTGTTATATCTTAACTTCGTATCTCTAAATGATACATTGTCTGTTCCTCCCATCTAACCCCCTGGAGGGTTTGTTTGGAATCCTGCTGTGCTCCTCCTCCCCCTAGTTCTAGCTGAATCATTTCCTAGCCTAAGGTGGTTGCCTTTGCTGAAGTAGCTCTAACTGAGGGCCTTGCTTGTAGTCTTGACTATGTTTGGCTCTCAGTGGAGAGCAGGCTTTCTCAACAGTGGCACTATTGATGTTGCTAGCGAGGTAATTCTTTGCTGTGGGGTGGATCCTGTGCATTGTAGGATGTTTAGTGGCATCCTTGGTTTCTACCCACTAGATGACAGTAGCACTCCCTACCCCCTAGGTATGACAGCCAAGGATGTCTCCAGATATTGCTAAATGTCCCCTGGATGGGGTTGCAAAATCATTCCCCCTTCCCAACCTCTTGAGAATCACAAGCCTAGCGGGCTAAAGCTTGGGGCTTTGCTCCAGTTTCGTATGATTTCAGTGTGGTGGGAAGAGGCAGGGTGCATCTCTTGGCATTTGGTCCCCTCAACATGGATAGATTTGTATACCCACCTGTTCCAAAAAGTCCCTTGGTCTGACTGTTCCACTTACACCCAGTCTTCAATGTCCACCTCCACACGGCATTCCTTGATTCACCTCAGTGCATTGCTCTTCTCTGTCACACAGTAGACACTTGGTACGCATTAATGTTTATTTTCTCCTGTTTTGTATTCATGCTATATGTTTTTATATTCTTATCACTAGTCTATGAGTGTTCAGCTCATAATACATATTAAAAAATTTTTTTATTTATGCAGAGAGGAAAAGGGAGGGAGAAATAGAGGGAAACATCGGTGTGTGGTTGCCTCTTGCACGCCCCCAACAGGGCATGTACACTGGCTGGGAATTGAACCAGTGAACCTTTGATTCACAGGCTGGCACTCAACCACTGAGCCACACCAGCTAGGGCTCATAATATGTATTATAAAAATGCTTATAATATTGACTGTGAGTAGGAAGGCCTTCGGTTGTGAGATGTTATTCCTGTTGCTGGAGAGCATGGGAGAAGCCCGGAGGTTGGAAATGGGTGTCTAAAAAGCTGACTCCTGGTCTGCATGTTGTGCTAGTCCTGTTGTGATGAGGGAGACATTGCTGAGTCCAGACCTGTTGTTAGAATAGGACTGCTATTTACTGAGCAACTACTGTGTGTTGAGTACTTTATTTATTGGGACCTTTTATATTGAAATTCCCACAATGCCACTCGGAGGGAGATCCCATTATCTATGTTTTATATATGAAGAGACTGAGGCACAAAGAGGTGTGATCACTTACACACTGATTCTCAGAGGCAGGGTCAGAACCCATGCCTGTCAAAGCCTGTGCTCCTGCCACTCCAGCAGAGAACTATGTACCAAGCATTATTTTAGATGTGTTACTCACTAGGCAGGTTGAGGGAACAGAAGGTCAGCTAAGAAGTAGTGAAACTAAGATTACAACCTAATCTATTGGACTGGACTAGAACCCAAGCTCTTAATCTCTGTCTTGTACTGCCTACATGGAGGGACATGGGCTACCATTCTCAGAGCTGGGTAGTAGATGGGTGTTGGAAATCAGGTCCTCAGTTCACAGTCACATAACATGTTTGGAGAGAATCTTGAGGTAGAATTTATAGAGATTAAACTGTTCCCAAACTCCAGTCCAAATTAAAAAAAATTTTTTTGGCAGTTTTATAACTTTATTCAACAATCAGCAGTTAGTTTTCACCCACATTAACTGTTTGTAGATTTTTGAAAGTGGTGACAGGTATGTAGGTGACCAACTTATAGATCTTGTCTGGTGAATCTTCATGCTCATTACGTTTTCTGGGCATCCGCACTCAGATACGGTATGTGCCATTCCTTATTCCTTCGGCACAGATGGCTTGTTTGAGCCTGATGTCAGTGCGCACATCCGGAGCTCCCATCTCCTTCATGGCAAATGTCCAGATCTCTGAGTGCTGGAGGGGCACACTTCTTGAAGCCCACTCCATGGATGTGCTTGTGGATGTCGTTGGTGTGCTCTCTGGTCACTACCTTCTTCATGGCAGAACGGCCGTTCTTCTTGCCACCCTTCTTTGTGGGAGCCATTATGCCGGGCCCAGGTTGGAAAGAAAGAACTAAATGCAAGTAAAAACTGTGACTTCTCTATGGAAGAGATAACCACTCTTAATGTTAAAAAAATTGTATTTATTTATTTGAATAGCTAATAAATGTATATGGTATAAAATTTTTAAAATCCCAAAGGATATAAGTAAAAACACTCCATCTTTTCCCTGACCTGATTGTTACCTACTTTCCTTTCTGGAAGTGACCACTGTTAAACCATTTACATTTTCATATATTTTCCCTTCTCCACAAGTTTTCATTATGAAAAATTTCAAACATGCATATGTGTTTTGCTTAATCATTTGCAAGTAAATTGTAACTTAATGACATTCCACCCTAAGGGATTCAGCAGTCATCTCCTGAAACCATTCTCCTGTGTTACCAATGTACCATTATCACACCTCAGAAAATGAATTTCCTCATGTCATCAATCATCCAGTTCATATTCAGGCTTCCCTAATTGCTCCCAACAATGTCTTTCCGGCGTTTTTTTTTGTTGTTTTGTTTTGTTTTTTAGCCAGAATCCAATCAGAGTTTGTATACTGCCTTTGCTTAGGTCTCAGTAATCTCTAGTGTTCTGGAATGGTTTTCCTGACCTTTCTTTTTTGACATTGGCTTTTTGAAAATTCCACGCCTGTTGTCTTGTAGAACATCCCACATTTTGTTTGTCTTAAGGTTTCCTCATGATGTCATTTACTACCTTCCTTTAACCAGAAGGGAGGTCTAAAAACTTGTTTAAATTCAGGTTAAGTATTTTTTGGCAAGATACTTCATAGATGCTGCTGTGTCCTTCATATTGTATCACAATAGGAATATGCCTTTTTTAAAAAAGATTTTTTTATTTATTCTTAGAGAAAGGGGAGGAGAGGAAGAAAGAGAGGGAGAGAAACATCAATATGTGGTTGCCTCTCGTGTGCCCCCCTACTGGGGACTTGGCCTGCAACACAGGCATGTGCCCTCACTGGGAGTAGAACCAGTGACCCTTTAGTTCACAGGCTGGCTCTCAGTCCACTGAACCACACCAGTTAGGGCAGGAATATGCCTTTTTAAAAAAATTGTAAAATACACAAGATAAAATGTACTGTTGTCACCACTTTTCAGTATGCAGTGCAGTAGTGTTAAGTGTATTCACATTGCTGTGTGAATACCTGAATACCGATTGCCTGAACTTTTTCATCTCATGAAACTGAAACACTGTACCCATTAAAGAACTTCCCTCACGCCCCCTGCCCCGACTTTTTTAAATTTGATTGAGATCAAACTGTACTGGATTTTGCGTCTTGCTTGTTTTTCCTATTGTGGGCATTTTCTCATGTCATTAAAGGTTGCAGAACAATCAATTCTGTAAATGTACTTTTTCCTTAGATAGGGTTTAAGTTTTTGGCTGCTAAGGTAATTGCAGAGGGATCATT